AGTTGGAGAAGTTTGGGAAACGCTGATCTAGTAAATGGATAAGTTTCACAAAAACAGATCCGACAGACTTGCAAAGAAACGTTTCATCTTTCCCCAGCTGCATATATTAATGTATAAAATAACTATCTTTATTTACAAATCACAAATCAGAGTTAGGATTAAAGTGAGACACGTGTTTGTATTGCATCTTTGATTGGAGAAGGATTAAATCTAAGCTCTCAAAAGGGAGGAATTAAAAGTTTCATTGTAGTTAGTTTTCCCAAATTGTTAAAAAAAAACTGTTTAAATACTTATATTTACATCTCAGGTATGTCTAAAAAATAAAATGTTGATATACATGTTTCAGTTGAATAGAAATTTTAGGAAAGTGATTATTTGCCTGTGACATATTCATCATAGCATCACAGATTTTGTGTTTGATACATCTGTCACTTTTTTCTGTAAAACATTTTACTGTGATTTATGTATTCTCTAAGTTTACTAATCTGATAATTTTCTGATTGTTGGCAGGTAAAAAGTAATGATGTTAAAACAATATTATGTTTAGCCTTATGTTACTTGGCTACACCAATGCTCAGCTTTTACTAAATGCTAAATCTGTGTGCAGGCATTTAGCAAATAGCCAGGCAAATTGTAAAATACAGAATAAATTACTATTTTTCACCAAGACAATGATTATGTGCCTAAAGTTACTATTCACCTGCAACATGCACAACACCCAAGGTGAAATGTGCTATTAACATGATTGAGAACCATTCTAAAACCAACAATGGGGGTATTAAAACCCCAAAAACATCACCCTGTTTACCATCAGAAAAATCACTTGCTATTTAATGTATCACATGCTACGATAACCATTTTCAAGTGGCAAATGACATGACATCTTAGGGAATCAGTCAGTTATGTGAACAATTAAAGCAAAAGAAACAGTAGTTCTCTTTTGATTGATGTTCTGTATTAAGATCAACTGAAGGTATACTGAAACTTAAATAGTTTTACTTGTTACCTGGGGGTGTAGAAAATGTATGGTACCTTCCTGTACCACAGTGGTTTAAATTGACAGAAACAATAGAAGATTTACATAATTAAAGGAAAGCTAGAGATTTGGTTAAAGAAATTAGGGTTTATGACAGAAAAGTTGGCTGAGTTTTACAGCAGTTATTTTTACTTCTTTAGTGGGGAAAAAAATTGTTGAGAAGGCAATAAAAGAAGCTTTGTAAAATCACTGAAGGTAAATCTTCCATTTCTAATCTGCTAACTTGTTTGAGGATGTTGTCTGGATAATTAAAATGGCTTAGACTTGGTATATTTAATATTTTCTGAAGCTTTTTAGGTTACACAGAAAAATTGGCTAGGATAATCACATTTTGGGGGTTTGGAAAAACAATAGTAAAATCAATGGTTGGATCCAAGTTATTAATGGAGTCCACTAAAATTGGACCTTTGTTACCAGTGGCCTCAAGTTTTAGTTCTTGGGCTTGTGCTTCTTTTTATTTAAACTAATGATATTGACATGGGTATAATTATTAAAGTTTGTGAATGACATTAAACTCTTTGGTATATCTACTTGATTTAAGGTTGTTGAGTTACTACAACATCACTGGAATCATTTATTTTGACAGACAGCCAATATTCAAGTGCCAGATAAGTCTTTCAGTTATAATGTGGATCACATTTTTAATATAGATTGCCCTAATATGGGAATCCACTCAATAGAGTGACAGAAGAAAAGGATATTGGTATAGTAATGGATAAGTCATTCAAGACATCAAGTACTTAGCTAATGAAATTTTAAGGTGTATATACAGGCATATTGATTACAGATCAAAAGAAGTAATTAACCCTATGCAAATCTCTAGTTAGACCATTAGACCACACATGGCATACTTTATATATTTGTGTTTTGTCTCCATATCTAAAAAAGGCTACTGATTTAATGAAAGGGTTTCATAGGAGAGCTTCAAGGATGAATCTGGATGATGGAAGGGTTGTCTTTATGGGGATAGGTTAAAATCTCTTAAGTTTCTCTTAAGAAAAAAGGGGGAAAGGTGATCTTGTTAAAGCTTGAAATATTATCTGGTGGATCAGTAAAATAAAGGCTTCTAATTGCTTTGTACTATAAAATATAGACAGTAGGATGAGAGAACACAATTTCAAGGTTTGGAAAATAGTCTAGGATGCAGTTAGTTTAAGACAGTTTTGTTATTCTAACAGCATAGGTGGCATAATCCCTGCCACTTAAAGGAATAAATTGTTGTTGGCAATAATACGGGCTAACACTTCACAAGGGTTTGAAAGGAAAATCTAGTTTCCTGAATAATATAGTTGCTAAGTAGAGGACATTATAGTGTGTTGATAGATGAGTTTGTTTGTTTTTTACTTTTTTTCAACAGTGGTTGTGCATGGATAGCTTTGAAGGATTAAATGGTCCATAGTTGTGTGTATGTTACCTTGAAATCATCAATCAAGTTTCCTTTACAGAAATTGAATATGTTATATGAAAACAATTTTGAAGCCTCACCAAGTCATTACAATCCAATTACCACATGCAGTCATGCTACATCTGATAATCTTGCATGTGGACAATAGTTCTGCAATGTAACTTTCATTGCAAAAGATTCCATTCTTATGCTGTCAAATCTAAATCACAATCTTCATCCCTGCTGCCTTATGAGGGTGACAGTTTTCTAGCTCCCATTCCAACAGTTCTATAACAAAGAAATAAATAAGCACTGCATTCTGCAAGTTGACCAGTATGTCTTTATAGGCTGAAAACCTGTTTAGTTCTCTAGCTGCATAAAGTATGTGACAGTTGAACGGAATGTTGTGGAAGTAAATTGTGTAACTTTTCTAGATAGTTACTTCATGATTTTATTTCTTACTGTTGCCTGAAATACATGGACTGCTTTTGTCTCTGACATTTGTGTTTGTGGCTTCTCATCTGTTACAAGACTCTGCACTTCACTTATCAAGGCTGGAATAAGACTTGTTGCAGGTTTCTTTCTGGTTGGTTTTTGTACTCCAAATTGATTTATATTCCTTTGTTTTCAAATATTTAGGAGCAGGAGATAGTTTCATAAAGAAATTTTTCATCTTTTGTGTTGGAAAAGGCTATTACATACCCTTCCCAAAAGCAATAAATATTTGGTGATATCACACTACCTATAAAACACCTAATAATGTCAGAATTTATATGTAGTACATGCTGTTTTACTTTGCGTTTTATATCACTGTTTTTGTCACATGACTTCCTGATTTGCATATTTAAAATTATTTTAATACAACATACTCAACTCTGTAGTTCTATACCTCAATGAAATTAAATACAAATCTTCCACTCCCTGTTTTGTAATTACCTTTGCCCCCAGAGGGGACAAGGGTATTGCTGTTGGGTCCATGTACATATATTGAAAACTAATAGACTAATATATATGAAAATTTTACACAAGATGGGAAATCATTATGGGATAGTCCTTCCCAAATTTGGACTGGATCCAAATCCAGAATCTGGACCACTTTGAATTATTTTTATAATAGGGAGAAAGGGAATTTTTGTGGCTTTGGGTTAATAACTCTGTAGAGTGTGATCAGATTTGTACCAAGTTTTAAGGGAACGTTGAAGTTGAAACTCCTCAATGAACCATATCATTCTGGATCTGAGAAGGGTTTTCCGAGTTTTTGGATGTGAAATTTGACGTTATCCGATAAAAATGCATGCAATCTCAAAGGAGTGGCCAGGTGATGGTGTGCAATCTCCACGATTGCCATTGTTCAGTTTTGTTTTTGGTTTTATCATTCTAGTAACCCATCTCTTGTTCTTTCCATCATGTTACGTGTCTAGCAGTTGGGTAACCAAAGCTCACATAGCACTGTAAAGTCTTCATAATCTTATACAAGGTTATTCTAACTTTTTCATTTTTAAGTTCAAAATTTCTTTAAATAGGTGGCTGAACTCTAAAAAAACTATTTTAAAAGGTTTTTCTATTTAATAATTACATCTAGAAACCTTGTTATTCACACTCAACAAAATTGTCTGCAATCAAGTAAGTTTTTTTTATATTTCAACATTGAAACATATATTATACATTATGACTTGGTTACTAAAAAGAACTGTCTAAACCTTTCTAGATAAAAGAAGCCTTTTCAACTCTTTCATCCATTCCCAGAATCTTAGTGTCAGCTTATTTATAACTATTATTATTATCCAAGAAGTTATCCTATTTTGAAGATAGGTACATGAATGGAAAATATGCATAAAGACAGGAATGCCTTTGGGTATATATTTGTTAATTTTATGTATGTATATATATTTCAGTTGTATTGAATATATCTCTCCTTTGACACTTACAAAAATGACTGTTAAAGATAATTCATTTTGGTTACGTTCTTTTCTTGCGCTCAGTAAAATGACAAGGAATGATGGCCTCCAGCAGAAAAAAATCCCCATGGCTACTTAGATATCTGAGCACACTATTGTGCTAGATGCACCCATTACATTGAAAATCAAACATTTTTACTAACAGTGCACTGCAGTCAGTCTCTTTTGCTTAAAAACATATGCATTGCAATTTTTCCTTATTGAAATAATGCAGAGAATGACAAAATATAGCATAAGGGCTTGCTAGACAGTCATTGCATATTTTATATTCATTGATCACCATTTTTAGGAAAATTTCCTTTGTATTGTTTCACCTGGTATCTGCTAGTTATGCACATTTGGTAGTTTCTAATAAAAGCTCTGAGTACATAAAGAAATAATTGTGAAAAAAAGTGCAATTAGTTTAATCTGCATGATTGCAATTTTCTGTTTTAAAAAAGACTGCTGTAAACTGATGAATTAATAGAATTGAATATCTGTATTCGTATAAGTTTCATTATAGATATTTTAAATGAATAGAATATTCACAAGTACTTTCATTGTTAACTTGGCATTGGTGTTCTTTTAATATTTAACGTAAGTAGCATTGAAAACTTTTCATAAGTTGTATGTGGTTCTGCAGTTTGACTGTCTGCAGAAAGTGATTTCTGGTGATCCAAGCACTGTTTACATAGACATCAAATCATCCAAGTTTTTACAAACTCCAACACATATTGCATCTTTTGCTGATCATTCACGTTGTCTTCTGTGGCTTCTTCAGGTTGGAGCAAACGTTAATTCCCAGGTGAGGTTTTTAGCAGTTGTCAAGTGCTTAGTGTTATTCTGAAAATAATTTCCCTAAATTTTCAAAATATAATAGACTTTTCTGTATAGAAAGAAACGAGTAGAAATACCATTTTATAGTGAAAAAGTTTTAAATGTCTGTTGTGCAAAATATATTTTTGGTTTATTGCTCACCTTATTGAATTAGATGGATAACATTTTGTTGAAAACAGTTTTGGGCATTTTAATTTTTTAATATATTTAGTATAGTCATTTAGAGTTAATAAATTTCAAGTTTCTAATATGTTTAAGAATGCTAAAAAGTGTGATAATTGTTACTTTTCCGTTGAATTAATTTGTATTCCTCTCATCATGAAAAAGCAGTTAAAATAATTAAAACACATAGAATAAAAATATTATAGTTTGATAAGTATTTCTGTATACTGGTTTTAACATTGGTTTCAACAATTAAGAATTATAGTAGTAAAAAAATGGCAAACAGTGATTGTAAAAAAATTGATATAAACAATTGGGTGCTACTGTAGTGTGCAGTCTACACATAGACTATCATCATCACCGTTTTAATTTTCATTTATTTGCAATTGGTGCCATTTATTATAAATAACACTTTTAAACTAATAGAGTACAAAATACCATTACATAGTGTTTTTGGGGCAAATATAATCAGGACGAAATAAATTCTGACAATCAAAACTAGCACAATTATATCCTAAATTTAAGGTACTCTTTTGGAACACACAACATATTAAATTATTATTATTATTTGCTGGAGAAAAACATGGATAGACATAAATTATTTAGCAAGAAATTAAGTTTTAGTGAATCATTAAAATGGTGATGATGATAGTATCTGTGTAGACTGCATGCTATAGTAGCACCAAGAATTGTTAAGTTGAATGTTTGACAATTCTTTAATACTTAAATAGGATTATCTAGGTGAAACACCATTGCATAAGGCTGCAAGAACTGGAAGTATGGAGTGTGTTACACTTTTGTCAGCAATGGGTGCAGATGTAAGGTATGTGCAGTATGAAGTCATTATCACATTGCTATAGATTGTTCTCAGTTATTAAAGTGTAATTTCTAGGGATGTGCCGATAAGGGAAATGGCTCTTTTTTTTGTCGGACTATTAGTAAAAATATTAATGCCGATTAGTCAGCCTTAAAATAATGATTAATTGGATCTAAATTACTGATCAGCTCTAATGTTATATTTTTGTAAATCAAAGGTTGATTTTTCTAAATGTATTTGCTGTTTATGCTTAAATTGAAATTTAACGAGCAAGTGTATATGCACTGAAGTGTTTATATTGTCATTACATATTTTATTTCATACATATGTTATAACAATGTGATTTGTTTTAATTTTAAAAAAAGGATTAATATTGTTTTCTTTACATTTGATATAATTAAAGCAGTGAATTAATTCAAATAAGTCTCAGAAAATTATTTTAAAACCAAACCATTGACTTTTATTTATAAACTAAATGAAATAATTTAAATTTATACTGTATGGTGTACATAGCAAAAGTAAATTTAACATCTTTACTTACCTTATCTATTTTTAGTTGTAATACCTTTATCAATTTTCAATTGTATACTACCTTGAAAGTTTCAAAAATGAGTGTGGATATCGGATTGCTTCAATTTTGTTGCATAATTCTTTGTTAAAGCATATAATTGCCACAGGAACCGATTAACTGTTTGTGTGTGGGTGGGGGTTAAAGTGCACATGTCACAACCTCTACAGTTGTACTCAAAAAATAATTATAAAGCTTTATTATCATTATCAATAAACTTGGCATCAAAATGTAGTTTATGATCCAAATTTTAATAAAATTTTAGCTTTAATATCTTAATTTCAGAAGGAAATATTTGAATCAATTCTCAAGCTTTACTTCTCCATATCACTTGACACTTGTGTGCTCTAAATTACCCATTTTAGGTATCCTTACTGCCCTCCTATGATGTCATGAATTGACCAGTAATTACAAATTTATAATATAAAATTGCTAAGACACAATCTAATTTTATAGTATCCAATCTTTTTGTTTTATGGAGATATAAATCAGAAAGTCAAATCCATATTTCACACCCTCCAATCACATCTTTTTTTATGTATATTATATATTGTTATAAATATATTGGAAGTGTAACAATTAGGAAATTAGGTTATATAAGAAGACTTAAATGAAAAAATTACACAAGATAACATGCACATTGTGATGGTGAAGCATTACTAATTTGACCGTGTATGCAGGTAATGCAATTTTTATTTGTACAGAGTTGCCTTGTGAAAAATCCTTTAGCTATACTCTCAGAGCAGTTGTAAGAATAAATAGTATGTATTTGTATGTTACAATATGCATTCATTTAGATTTATTTCATGTTCTTCAACTTTTCATTTTAACCTAAAATAATTATAGGCCCATTAGTCTTACATCAGTTATGGGAAAAGTTTTGGAAAGTTATAAAAGATGCTTTGCGAAGCCATTTAACAAAATTTAGAATTTTATTGGACATTGAACATGGTTTCACTAAGTGAAACTCTTGACATTCTTTGAAAAGGTTACACTTTATGTAGGTGAGGGTGTAGATTTGGTGTATCTGGATTTTCAGACAACATTTGACAAGGTGCCAAATAAAAGGCTTATAAAAAAAAGTTATCTCTATAGGTGTGTGTTGGGGGGGGGGTAAGTTAGCTAATTGGATAGAAGAGTGGCTGGAAGAAAGTAGAGGGCTATTATAAATGGATTAATGTTACAGAAGTCTGCAGATGATATTTAGGTCTTGGGAGTTGTTAGCTGTGAAGAGGATGCTGATTTACAAAAGGATTTAGATCATTTAGTGAGTTGGGCAAATAAATGGGTTTTAATTATAATAATTGTAAAAGAATGCATGTTAGTTATCATGATTTGAATTATAAGTATAATTTGGATGGGAAAAAAGTTAGTGTCATGAAAGGAAGGGATCTTGGTGTAATAATTGATCAGTTTTTTAAGTCATCAAGCAGTGTGCTTTTACTAGTGGTAGGGGAAATTAGGATTTTAGGTTGTTTCTACAGAAATATTGAATACAAGTCTAGGGAGATTATGATTTCATTATATAGGTCACTGGTTAGACCACATTTGGAATACTGTGTCCAGTCTTGGGCTCCTTACCCTAGGAAGAATGTTGGAAATGGTTCAGAAGAGGGTTATTAGAATGGTGCCTGGGATGGAGAGGGTTGTCATATGAAGAGAGTTGTTGAAATCTCTCAAATTGTTTTCTCTTGAAAAATAAGAGTTGGGGGGGTCTGATTGAGGTGTTTATGATTGTAAAGGGAATTGATAGTGTTGATGTATAATCTTTTTTCATACTTAACAGCAAGAATAGTAGGACTAGGGAACACACAAAAATTTTGCCAAGATTGGAGTCATCTTCAGCTAAGACAGTTTTATTTTTCTAACAGGGTGGTTGGCCTTTGGATGTTGTGGAGGCAGTAAATTTAAGTCAGTTTAAGAGAAAGCTTGATAAGTATATGAATAATAAGGGCTGACTTTAATATTTATTTATTAATAGTTTAGTTTGGAGGATGAGATAACTAAGATGGACCAGTAGGTCCCATGTTGTCTTAAAACATCGTATTAATTTTGTTACAGTTAGTGTTAGGGTAGAGAAAATATAACGCTTTAATGAAAAACTTTAGACATTCATTTGGGAGGTTCTAGAGGCTATGCAAATAAAGTATGAAAACTCTAAGGTGAAAAAATATTTTTATTCTTAATGTGAATTACCTTGCACTCAGGCTAGTCAGAATCCGAATAAGACTGAGTAAAGTAAATGCAGAGACAAATTTTTAGTAGGAAAACTTAAAAATTCTTATGTTTTTGTGTACATCCTACATGTTACTTTTTACTAAGAGCTTAACACAGTAATTTCAGAATTACAGTAAATATTATTTCTCTAGTAAAGACTTGGTTCAGCTGGCCAACCTCATGCACAGAGGGTTAATCGGCGAGGGTGGTTGATTATCTGCCAGTTAATCGGCACATCCCTATTTGTCTGTTTAATTAAGTTCTGATTGATCAAGCAATTCTTTTTTTTTAAGTGTAATTTAGATCTTATAGTTACTTGTATAGTACTTAAAATGTCTAAGAACCCACAAGTGTAAGCAAAGGAGAAAGATATAATATTTCAACCACACTACTTCTGGTATATCTAATGCCAGCATGTTCAATGCAAATTATTTTTTGGATTAGTGATAAAATGTCAGTTACTTAACAGTGAACCCATACTAGAAAGACCTGAGATATATACATATATTCTTGCATCCTGTGCTTTTATAGTCTTTTAAGATTTGACAGTTGTCTTTCTGTTTGCTTCCAGTGGATATATTGGTTGCACTTTCTTTTACCATTGTTATTTATTTTACCTAAATATACTATACTCTGAACATTTTGCCTATGTTTGTCCTATAGAAATGATATTGACATTTAAAAGAAAATTACCCATGAAAATCTCTTCTTCTTTCCCCCCCCCCCCCCTACTTACTACACTATTACTTCTACTCTACTA